ATAGCTGAGCGGAAGCTGCGCTCCGGCAGATAGCTAGCGACGGGTCAAAAGGGTCGCCCGCGATACACTGCGACATGGTTACCTTTCTCCGGGAAAATTCTCAAGAGGCGTTACGCGGTATCACCGCTATCACAGCCATCGTTCTCATTTTGTTGGCTTCCCTGATTCGTGCTTCTGTGATCCGAACTGAAGTTCACTGGCAATAACGACGAACGGCGACGAAATAGAACACAGTTCACAGCCAGAATGTAATATTACGCGTATCGCGCAGTACAGTTGCCACAGTTAGGAAATCTTATCAGCATCAGCGGTATCAGAACATCCCAGGTAATCCCAGGTCACGAAAACTTCGCCCGGAACTTGTGCGTGGGGGGAGGGGGGGGGGGGGGGGGGGGGGGGCTGAGGCTGTGGCTGAGCTGTGATCTCTACAAAAGAGATCACAGCGATCACGGCCACTTCAGTGGGCACGGAAGCGTGAGCCCGGCAGAAGTTCCTGACCCCGTTATGTTTGTTTTCGTACAGGTATGTAGACGGTACCCGTTTCGTTATATGAAAAGTAGCACGGATTACTTTCTTGTTCTCTCGTGCCCCCGGGCTCTCCTCGATCTTGTTCGCGAATGTGCGAGTGTGCTGTGGCCCTCGTTCTCATTGTTGGGTGATATCGAGTCAGACTCTGGACCAATGACCGTTCAGCAAGAAGAGCAACTTAATTCAATACACGAGCTCCTCATCAAACTTGATGACAAATCTTCTAGGCTGGAACGGCAGGTTTCTCTTGGAACTGATGTCAAAACTGTTACTGAGAAACAAGTACTCCTAGATGTCAGTTTCGCATCCCAAGAGTAGGCGCTACTCGCGACTCCACACTTTTAGTCAAAGGAAAAGACACAGAAACTGGGACGTTTCAAACTCGGCTACTTTCGTTGCTTCCACGAGTCCTCATACACTAAGAAATCTAAGGCCGAGTACAACCATCACTGAATTTCCACAAAAACCTAAAGTTACAACAAAAAAAAAGTTAGTAGTTATTAAAAGCACCCTTACGCAAAAATTACTTTTTATTCTTTCTCCACTTGTCGCCCACCTTCAAACTGGACGACGAATCTAACCTTCACGAAGAAGGACTTGTAGTTTTCAAGACTGACCTTGCGAAAGCCCTACTTTTTCCTTTACTTGTTCGTCGTGCGGACAACAACATCGAGAAGCAACTGTTGTTAAGTTCGAACAAGGGACTTTGTTTGATTGAAACATGTGAGATCGTTGTAAAACGCTCGTGCGATGTAGGGTAACCTTACATTGGGCTCGTCTGAATCGCCTAACACAAACATGAATATGGTTAAAAGCTGAGATTTTTAAAGATGAAAATAAAATTTTGCTTCCGCTTGATTTTTTTTCCTGGTGCCCTTCCATCGCGACATTTAAGTTCGTATGTTACCATTTCATGGGATAGATAAAATAAAAAAACATTGCTGGATTGAACTAAATATGGTAATCAGCAAAATAAAAATGTAACGTATGTGTAAAGATACGTTCCATTTTTTTTTAACCGTAACGGGAACGAGTTCCAGAAATCAGAAGGAACGAAGAACAAACTTTCGTTCCTTTTTTTTTTTTTTTCTTTTGAGGAACGTGTACAACACTGAATTCAATTAACATCCACAATCTTTTTATTTGTCGTAACATTTGCCGCCTTTATTTTTTGCGCAAAATGTATTCCAACCCCACCTTACACCACTCTCTTCTTCACCCGCCCACGTCAGGTCCGATCATCCCTGCAAAATATCCCGGCCCAAATGCAGCTCAACGGCGTACCTTCATTCTACCTTCCAGACGCTATTATGAATTGGAACGACCTTCCGGAGCCTATCGTCCCCATCAACGACGGCACCTGGTTTCGGTGTGTTTTATCTGATTGCCTTACTACTCCCACTCCTCTCTGTAATGCCTCTGGCCCGGAGGGTACTTGAAATAAATAAATAAATAAATAAAAATTAGTTTAAATGTTTTGGGGAAATAAGAAAATATAGCGAAGCAGAGATAACGTTTGGATTAAACAAGTGTATGTCCACACATATCTCATTTTTGGCTTGCGGCGTTATCGGTGCCTCGTCATTCGCCGTGCAGCTCTTCCGTAAATCTCAAACGATCACCTCGTCTTGAACGTTGCAGAGAAAGACAGGGCGCAAGGCACGGTTCATAGAGAGGTCGACTATTTTCGAATAAATACGGTAATTGAATATTCCATGAGTTACTTTTCAACACACTGCTTTTTGCAAGCTCAAGTTCGGCAATGTCAACACCCCTCCTGGTCGACGTGTACTTTTGTGAAGAACGGTACACAGAGCTGGCAGCTTCCGTAGTTATGGAAACATTTATGATGTCCTTTCGGGGATGACACTTCAGTCGTTGGCAGGTTTGGAGTTCAGAGGAAGCTCCTCCCACCTCTTTCCACTTTAACTGAGCGAACGTTGGAGAGAGGGCGACCCCATCTCCAGTGTTTGCTCTGGTAAACTGGAAAGAGGTGGGAGCAGTTACTCCTGAATTCTTAACCTGTCACCTACTACAGTAGTAAAGGACTCGTTCTTGTTTTTTAAACAGTTTGGCATGAATGAACTCGACACTTTAATAAAATATTTGTATTGCTTTTGGCGAGTTTTAGTTGCGTTAATTATGTTTGCATATGAACTTGTGGCTGAGATCACTCTGGTTGGGTGGAATAATTAAAAATGGGGGCCGGCCAACCAAGCCGTAAAAGAAGACGAAACCCAAAACACTGCTCCCCAACGGCCATCGAAACAGTTACCCCTGTAGAAGAGCCGAGTAGGCATCGAAACATCCACTCTAAAAAACATCTGGACGTAAAAGGACTCCTAGGGATTCTTCGGCCTGTCTATATTTTGCACCCAAAAATGTTTTTAAGCACCCCCTACAGGGGTTCTTCGTAAAAAACCTATAAGATTTTTATTTTGTTTTTTAAGCTCTTTTTTTTATGCGAAAGAGCACTTCATCGCCCCAGCTGCCTTTTACAGTGCTAAAGGAGGCGATAGTTGATTGAGTCGAAACCGTACTTTACGAGCTGAGAGAGTCCTTGGGGCGTCAAAAAACCTTTCAATACGGATTTTTTTTTTTTTGTGCTTTGTTTTGTCTGTGTGTGTGTTCTTTTTTTTTCTGTAGGGTTCCAAAGTAGGAATTGGTTGTACTCCCCCCATTTTTTGTTAATTATGTTGAATGATATTATTTGTCAAATGCACCGGCTCATTTTTGTAAAATTAAAAAATAAAACGCAAAAATAAAATTGAGTTGATCCACTGTAAATAATAGAATATCGAGAGTGTGTTGCAAATCAATTGTGTTTATGGATAAACACGAGGAATATATTTTTGACAACAATTATGCTGTTGGCTCAGAGGTCCGATATTTAAGTAGTAAGCATCTGACCCTGTCCCAGCAGTCTGATAAATCTTCTGGGCATGTCGGTACGAAAGCTCGTAACCGTGAAATTAAATTTTGAAATAGCAATTATCTTGCAGGTTTGCATTTATAATTAATGCGTGACTTTCTTTTGATGTGAAACTGACTTGATTCAAGCCCGTTTCTTGTACGATTATCTGCAGTTAACTTTAAGTTCATTTTAAAGAAATGTTTTTCAAAATCATTGATATATTTTTAAAACACACTTCAAATATAACTCTCCATGCGTTCTGATTCTTGTGCACGTACGTCCGTTAAGTATTTTAAACAAAAAAAAAAGTAAGTATCAGTTGAATAGAAAAAAAAACTTGCGTGACAGTCGCATATTTAAGTATCTCCATATCCGGTTAAAAATATGGTCATGGCCATGAGACTCAGTACCAAGATGGCCAGCAGATCAATTAATATACTGACCCATATACTGGTTCAATATATATATTTAAAAAAATTGTCTCACTGGCTGAGTATCACCGCCGTTAGTCTCAGCTACGTTTAAAAAAAATATTTGGCATAACGGCTGTCAGTATAAGAGAGTCGTAATTTTAGAGCGATATTTCCAGGTCTCAAAATTTGTCCAGCTAATTCTGTCAGATTAAAAAATTGGCCCTCCATGTGTGTCAATGTGTATAGCACGATATTACCCCGCCTAATTGAATTTTCTTATCAATTAGATTTGATGCTGATCAGACAAGTTGAAGAGGGTAAAGAATATGCTAACTTCTTAACGTAGGATTGAATAAATAGATTATCTAGTAATTGTAATGTGATCTCAAATTCGTTTTGTTTTGTTTTTATACGTTTAGTTGATTTTTTTCTATTTACTTCCTGATTTCTTAATGGTTCAATGCCAACAAAAAAGGTAACAAAATATTTGAGAATCACGCTTGCTTAACTTAGTTTTACACTCCCACTTTGTTAACGTAAATTCTCGTTGAAGATTTTGCGGTAGGTTTCTGCTTGTGTGCTTACCACAACCTACGAAAATAATCTTAATCATCGCTATATCGGTGCTGTGCCGGCATGCAAGGCCGTGCTCAGGGGAGTGCTGCTGGGCTTCTGTAAATAGTAAATGGTTGAACTAAGTACCGAGCAGTTAACGCGAGTTTTGGTTCGTACAAAAGTGTAAATCAAATTCCTCGATTTTATTTTGATTTTATTTTTTTAGCGCGCAAACATTGCCGTTTTTGGCAGCAGCCGTTAACTTTAGTGAACCGAATAAAGGAAGAGAAGAGAAACGCGGGGAATAAATTCAAGTGATGGGATCGAACTACCCCTGATTTATTTACACTCTTGCACACGCTAGTTCTTCTTTTCTTCCCATGCTTCGTCTGATCGGCCCCGGTACAAGCAGAGTCGTAGGCTTTCGAGCACCTCCGGTCTCCGGTCATCTGGCATATCGAGGCCTGTTGAAAATAGTTCGAGTCACCTAAGTCATTTCTAAGAGCAAACAAAAAACGTACCTAACAAATTTTTTCACACATGTTTTTATTTATTTCTTCACTTTTTTTTTCTTTTTTTTTTTTCACAGTTATGCGTGTATACTTATTTCCAAACGCTTACTCGAACAAACTTAGTGGTAGCCGCCCTTGAGGAGCAATACTTTGCCACCGCCATAGCCTCCTCCGTGTCCTCCTCCGAGGCCGTAACCACCGAATCCTCCTCCGAGGCCGCCTCCGCCCAAGGCGAGTCCACCGCCGCCCCCGCCAAAGCCGCCGCCGAGTCCAGTGTGGGCGAGCACGGCGCCACCGCCATGCAGCTTTGACACGTGGTGTACTGTCTTCACCAGGAACGAGGGTCCGGCAATAGATTTGGATGCACCGGCACCGCCTCCACCAAGAAGAACGACGCTGCTTCCGACACCAAAGCCTCCACCTCCGAAACCTCCTCCTCCGCCGAGGCCATATCCTCCGAGGCCACCTCCGCCGAGAGCAAGTCCACCGCCACCAAGGCCCAAGCCGCCATAACCCCCGGCAAGGGTGGTGCCGACGAGGGCGCAGACTACCACCTGCGTGTAAATATCACGGACCAATCAAACTGCAGACGTCGCAGATATCACCTGACATTTCATGAGTCTCGTCGTCATGGGAGAGTCTAGCCCATCTGAGAACCTAGATCCAGGCTCGCGTTAACCCTCATTGACGGGTTGGGAAATTATAATTTTTTTTTTAAATTTAATAAATCAGGTTTATTTCGTTTCAACTAGATATATTCGACATAAATTTAATTATTTCGATCGAAATCACTGTAGCTAGAAAATAGCGATTTCTTACCACTAATGTATTTTCAAACGTGGCACATTGATTGTTCAATCCGTCCGATCAGTGATAGGTAGAAAGAATTACTGGGTAATTAAAGTACAGCCTAATCAACAACTTTCTAACAATGTAAGTCCCGCCATATTAGAACAAAACAGCTTGAATGTCTTACTTATTTGAAAGGCTTTATTTTCTTTCTTTCCTATTCTGGCTTGATTGCCACAGGACATTACTTTTCTAGCTTTCGTTTCATTCTTTAGCGTTCTAGTTTTGTCGTAATAGGACGTTACCCAAATGACAAACTAAGGACGTGGAAGGTGGAAATCAAGCTCAAGGCTCCGATTTGATTAGAAGAGCACTTCTTTTTGCTCGTGTTCAGCCCTATATAGATATTTCTTGCTTAATGACTTTTTTTATTTGAATACAAAACAATTGAGCATGGAGAACATCAAATAATAGACAAACGGTGGATAACGAAAAAATTCGATGTTATTTCTGTGGGAAATGTTTGATTTAACTCGTCATAGTAAGACTGGTCTAATTCACATCGCGAATTAAATCACGATATCAATCATGCTTTACACCATAATCATCTTTGTTCTCCACACTGCTCGTTGACGCGTTGTTAACTGACGCGTCATTAACTTTTCCCAACGCAGCTATACAGCGTGCCCACAAATCCGGAATGCATAAATCAGCTTGGTAATGGATCGCGCTACAATTTACCACAGAGGTAAAAATTTTCAGAGAAGCTTACCTAAATATAAAATTAACAAATAAATTTAACTAGTTTCTCCCACCTACACAGCGTCCGTCTGCTATTGGCGAGGAGATCGAGGTATAGGAGGCGCTACGTCTGTTTTCCCCAGAAATCTTCGTTTACCAATAGAAGGCATGTGTACTGAATTCTTTACATTATCTTTAACGATTGAGTGCGGGGCAAAAAGTGAGCGCGACTCGTAACCATTTCCTTTCTTTTTTTTCTTTTTTTTCTTTTTTTTTTTTACGTTTGCGTTCGGTTTTAGTGATCGAACACGAGCCACAGCCGAATGTTGACGCAACTTTAGGTTACGTGGGTACAGCGCTGCTTCAAAACACAAACAAATCATCTAGGTCGTACTTGTCCCCATTGCTGTAGTTCTCGATTTAGCCACTAGGGCGTAACGGTTGGATCTCATTCCAATACACGCACCTTCTGACTGGCGCCACAACCAACAGATGGCGAGAGCGGACCCCGGCGGCGCGACGGCGGTGCGGATACAGTTACTCTACGGGGTCAGCTGACCGCCCCGTCGCGCTAAAAGCAGGTGATGTTTTCGAGTCATGAACGGCGCTGGCTTTTTCGGTACTATGATGGTCCGTACATGATTCCTGGTTCATCGGGTAATCTCAGCTACATGTATTCTGCTTTTGGCGCGACCGAGCGGTAAGCAGACGCCGGGGCCGCTGATGCCATCTGTCGATTGTTGCGTTCGTCAGATTGTGCGTCAATAGCAGACGGGCGCCGTAGGTAGGAAAAAAATCAGTTATTGGTGGTTATTGCGACGAAGAAAAATTGAAGTGTAACTTATTTTAGGTCTTCGGAAGAATTTGTGACGAGTTACGTAACTATACGCCACCCGTTACTTGAAATAAGTAACGTAAGTACGTTACCCGTTACTGTTTTGAAAAAGTAACGAGTATGTTACTACGTTACCGAGAAAAAATAACGCGTCACCGGTAACGCCGTTACTTGTGACGTGTTACCGCCAACACTGGTTGACGGTTATGCTGGTTCGAGAATAGGCTTCGCGGGTTCGGTGAAATAAAGATGGTGGGCCTCTTGCCTCCAACATCGGCTCTTCGTGTCTCTGTCTTCTAAAAAATAAAGCAACAAATGTGAAGCCGCACGCAGCGATTGGGTGGAACTAACGAAGAACCGGTGTATAAGACATTTCTTTGGACCCGTCATTCGCTACCCCCCCCCCCCCCCTCCCTTTTTCGCCTTCAAGCAGTCGTAGCGGGCTACGTGGTGCGATTTGTTGGCAATATTTGTTACACGAGACGCAAAACACGAGTCCTTACAAAAATATAGAGATTGAGGATAACGACCAACAATAAGTATTAAAAGTATTGCACCGGGTTCCATCGCAAGATGGACTTTTCGTCAACAACAACAACAACAAAAACGAACAGGAGAACGTATACACATTAAGAGGACTGCATGTCGGTTGGTTTACAAAGAAGGATGAAACTTCAAAACCGCAAATTCTGAATCATGTGCGATAGAATCGAGCACGGCAAGTGGGCTTTGTATGCGTCAAATCATATTTTGCTTAATAATGCACTGAGTCTGTGAATGGCGCGTTGCACAAAAACCCGCAGTGAAAAATGAAAAAAAAAAGAAGGGCAAACCGGATACGTGGTGTAGCCATATGGGGTGCATCGTTGTGTAAAACACCGTGCTTCTGCCTAGCGGCCACAAGAAACAAAATTTACGGGCGAAGCGTCAATATTTGCTCGAGGTGACTACGAGAATACGATCGAGGCATCTTACCAGAGTCTTCATAGTTGTCCCTTGGGCTGAACGAAGTGCTGAGTTTCTTGAATGAAGAGTGTTTCCCCCATGGCAGCCCGTGCACTTATATACTCTCGGTCTCGCGGGTGTTTCGGAGGCTCCAGCCAAAGTCTCCCTATCTCATCACCGGTCAAATCCTTCTTCCTGACTTTAAATCGAAGCACCTGGTACGCCTTATCGAGGGCCCATGATGTAGCCCGTAGCTCCTAGGGCCCCCGCAGCTTCCGATGTGCCCGATCGGAAATGCCGAATTAATTTCTGGTTTGCTTTCGGTGGCCCAATCCCAGCGTCCAGTGTGCGGCACTGGGCGACCCGCGAACCGTATTCGGGTACACTTTCTACCTTGAGGGGTTCTGTTATCGGCCCTTTTACACCGAGCCCGCAACTGGAGCGTCTTGCGCAACCCTCGTCGTCGACGTCCGCCGGACTCCCGAGGCGCAGTCACGACGACAGGGCTGATGAGTAGTCGCATCGCGGAGAAATCGCAATCACATCAGGAAGAGTCGGACACAAAGAAACCAGCAGCCGGAACGAGACGGAAAGTTGCATTTCTCGCAAACGCTGTCGACGTTCTTTTTTTTTTTTTTTTTTTCTGTATTGCGGTTTGCGGAAATAGCATACTACGCTAAAAAGCGAGCGCTTTAACGGAAACAAGAATTAAGATGCCGTGCGTATACGCTACATGGTTCACTTTCCCGCACGGAACGATAAACCGCTCTTTTTTTCCGCGACTTCATCCGCGAGCTTGGGAAAGCGAAAGGTTGTGTTAGGAGAAAGGGGGATTTCTCTGAATGTGTACAGAAAGTGAAGAGAGAATTTGTACCTAGGACTCTCAGCCGGCCAGCAGCAAAACGCCCAACGAAAAACAAAACAAAACGACACTATTTGTCGACCACAGAGCGTGGTTTGGTCGTGCAGTAAGCGTGGTCGAGTCGTGCAGAAAACTTGGATGTTTCATGGCGTCAACGAAGCACGATGCTGCTCTCTTCAGGATGGACGTTGATGGACCAAGGTGCACGTTGGTAAAAATTATATTTTGGCAGAACTCGGCAGTTTCCCTCAATGAAAAGCGCCTTTTTTTTTTTTTTTCTTTTTTAGTCAATCGCTTTGTTTGCGTAGCATTTTTATTCCGCTTTTGTACCCGACAGCCCCCCATAACTGCATGGGGTTCTGCCAGGCACGCTGAATCTTACGATCCTAGATAGTGCGGTATTCATCCGATACGTCAATTTTCAAGCAACTAGATAAACGATAGGGTAATTTCGGCTATCTGTGGTATTACTCGAATTTCCAGTGCCCGCTAGGTATCGTTCGTACGAGCTCTTCGGGATCCCAGAAGACCCCGAGGAGCCACGATATCCATTGTTGTCTAACATGTATTCATTTGAATTTATTTGTTTCGATTATATTCATAGAAGTAACACTCACTCATGATGATTCATGTCCAGCTTACGGTAGCTCGGTCGATAGCTAGTACTGCCTAAAGCACAGCCCTCCCCCCCTCGAAATGAAGCTTCGGATAACTACGCAATCTGTTCACTTTCTTCCTAGTTCTCGACATTTTAGTATTATTTTTGAAGCCTAACGTAGTAACTATTTTTTTTTCTTTTTGTTTTGTTATTTATTTGGATATGCAAGGGGCCAAATTTTCCTGGTATTGTTATCTTGAATATTACTTATGAGTGCCCTATAAGTAGGATTCCGTGTTGTTGTTGTTGTTGTTTTTTGGCGTAGGCATTGTATCCTGACTTTTCCAGGATCTTCCTTCCTCATGACGTTTTATGCAGGCGGAGGAGTTGGCTCTGCTTGTCATCTGCAGCTACTTCCATGATGATTACCGGCAATTACTTTAAAATCCCCCACCTTGGTACGCTTGGGGAGCTCGGTTATGAGCCTCCATGCACTGTTGTTGAGCCGTTCCAGTCCTTCCTTTTGTGCGCTGGAAAATTGAAGATAATTCCGTTCATACATAGTCTTGGATACCATTAGTGTCCCTATATTAGTTTCCGGGGACTTGCTCTTGCATCCACGGACTTGTTTGTTACCATGCCAATGGCGTTGATAGTCTTCTTCCAGCATATATGTATTATATCGTACCACTTCGTATCCCTGCCATCTTCTTGGAAAACTACGCCAAGAATTTTGACTTCTGGCACCCTTTGGATAGTTTTCCATGCTACCTCTAGTCGCATGATGTCCCACTTCGTTCTGTCTCAAATATTGGCAATCATAGTGTAATTTGTTTTCTCAGCAGACATCGCCATGTTGATGTCTTCCAAAAAATTGAGTTGTGTCCAGTCAGTTCTGCAAGGCATGTTGTTGCTCTTCCGCCGTGCACCTCGCTGACCACAGTGAGATGTCGGATACTTAGATGGTGTAACCAAGGTCCTTCTGCTTGTCAAGTTCAAAGGCGAGGTCGGCCATCACCGTACTAAAAAGTGTCGGTGATATTACTGACCCATGCGGCACTCCTCTGGTGAGGCTTCGACTTGCGTCTTTTGTGGCTCCCAGTTAGATCGAGAAGGTTCGGTTGTCCAGGAAGGATCTGATGAAGCGGAGACATGTTCCTCGGAGGCCTCTGTTGATGACGCCTCGAATTACGGCCCAGTGAAAAACGGAATCGAAAGGCTTCTTGACGTCGGTTGCTACGAGGGTTTTTGTCTCATGGAGAGTTGTGTGGACAGCATGTCCTTGTGAATGACAGCCAGGCTGTTCAT